GTCTCGAGCTAGTGCCGATTTACTGTAGACATTTATTCGAGCGAAAATGGCGTCGACTTAAACTTTCTGTTGTACACCACGCCCACCAAAAATGTATCTTTGGCAGTGGAAACGCAAGCCTGATAAAGGTGACCCGTATGGTTTGTACACCAGCAGTGCAAGTCGGCAGCTGTCTGCGGTACCCAGCTACAACTCAGTACACTGCTCATTTTTCAGCAGCGCCACAGAGCGCCATCTGAACAATTTTATTTTAAATAACATGCGAATATGCACCTTTGGTGTGCGTTACTTCCAACTGTCATGTGCGTGGCGCATCCGGTGTGCGCGACCCCCTTTAAGGATGAAGTCTGCTAGTTTTGTGGATCAGTGACAGTTAAGCTGGATGCCATTATCCACACTAAAGCTAAAAAGCTTCATGAACCTATTGCTGACAGCAATGAATGTTTGGCTGTGTCTGAAACCAACTACTACCCAGTAGATACTGTATTTGAATTTAGAAAATGTTCTAAACGGTGTAAAAAAAAAATCTGTTATTTTACGTAAAATAACGGCTTTTAAGTTACAGACATTTATCGTAAAATAACAGACAGTAAATTACAGAAATTTACCAGAAATTTAAATTTAAGTACTTTTCTGTAATTTACTGTCTGTTATTTTACAGTAATTGTCTGTAATTTAATGGCCGTTATTTTACGTCTACGTTAACCCAGCTGCCGAAAAAACGTAAACGTAAAATAACAGATTTTTTTTACATTGTACAGTTTGAATGTGAGTGGTATGAATGGAACTCGGCCATACTGCATCCACCATTTTTTCATGATCACATGACCTACCCTAGTTATGTCGCTTCACTCCCATTCATGAATTCTCTCGTGGGTCATTATGGGATAGCACAGCGTGCATTGGATGCACACATCTCGCAGAAAGTAGTGGGTCATCCGGGTACTTCTTGCATACTGATTTTCGAATTCTATCAATTTGGACATACTACTCAGCTCACAGACTTATTTTAGCTTACAGAATAGAAGTATGCAGTTTCGAACAGAGCCATTGTCTCTGACACCAGATTTTGATCTTTGGTTTCATTCCATAATACTGGGCTTTTTTTCTACGAAAGTTTACACTTTGAGAGTGTTTAAACAAGAGAGAAATGTGTGGAAATATTTATGCCTGTCTGAGAAAAGTGTATAAAGTGTCTAATGAGGGGTTTTACAACCTTAAAATATCTAGAATAACTGTAAAAATCAAAGCGGACTTCTTTGCGGATTTCGACTATTGAGGGTTATTTTTAGAACGTAACTCCTGCAAATAATGAGGAACCACTTTAATTCCAACTGAAACTGAATATTGAGTAGGGGGTGGGGCTTTCTTTTTGCGCATAATTCTCTTTTGGCAAACTAACGGTAAGGGGGTGTGGTTTAGAATACCGTGGCTGAAATGTCAAACGCGGAAGAAAATGGTCGGATTTTAATCGAAGAATACAAAAAACTTTTTTTTTCCCAATGGATTACCATAGATTAACTGTTCACCTAAAGAATAACAATATGCGCAAGAAAATGAACATTGTAAATTTTGATTTAATTGCTTATTTTTATGCTTTTTTATGTCAATATGATGAATAGGTTTATAATCTAATATCACCTTCTGTCCTACATAAGATTTGCACAATGGCATACTCTATATCCCCAAGAGACCCTTCCTATCTATGAGAAAGGTGGCAGAGGTCCTGCTGAAAACATGCCTGATTATCAGATGACTAGGGGATTGCAGCCATTTTGTGGTCATAATAGGGGGAGCTGCACTGGTGAATGTAAAGTGTGTAAACCTTAGAGGGTTCAGGATTTGAGCTGACCCTGTTGTAATTCAACCAGAAAAGCAGTGGCTGGTGTTACAGCTGGTGGATAGGGTTTACTTTTCCTACCAGACCACCTACCCATCTCATGGCCTTAACTCTATGTTAACGTGCCCCATTATGCTTTTTAATTTGTTTTGGGGGTCTCTTAGAATAGGTTTTCCAACACTTTTATTTTGTCATCATACACATTTCGCATTAGCTTATTTTTCTCTAAGAATTTGTCCAATGATTCAATCTTTTAAAAGCCATCCACAGCTCACTCATATTAAGGTGGATTACAGGAGTAGACCAATCTGAAACAGCATTAAAAAAGTGCACAAAAGTGTAAATTAGATTTATTGCAGCGTAATCTCACGACGAACTGTACAGTTGAAGACAGAATTATTAGCCCACCTTTGAATTTTTTTGCTTTTTTAAAAAATTCCCAAATGATGTGTAACAGAGAAGGGAAATTTTCACAGTATGTCTGATAATATTTTTTTCTTCTTGAGAAAGTCTTATTTGTTTTATTTTGGCTAGAATAAAAGCAGTTTTTAATTTTTTTAACACCATTTAATTTCAAAATTATTAATCCCTTTAAGTTATCTTTTTTTCGATAGTCTACAGAACAAACCATCGTTATACAATAACTTGCCTAATTACCCTAACCTGCCTAGTTAACCTAATTAACCTAGTTAAGCCTTTAAATGTGGCTTTAAGCTGTATAGAAGTGTCTTAAAATATCTAGTAAAGTATTATTTACTGTCATCATGGCAAAGATAAAATAAATCAGTTATTAGAAATGAGTTATTAAAACTATTATAATTAGAAATGTGTTGAAGAAAATCTCTTTGTTAAACAGAAATTGGGGGAAAAAATAAACAGGGGGGCTAATAATTCTGACTTCAACTGTATCTATTTTACATGTTGTCAGTTTAGTAGCTAATTCGTAGTTTAATTATACAAAAACGTAGGACCCAACCATCATTGGGGGATGAAAATTTTTTACTAAATTGTACGAATGAGATGGTACAAATTCAAATGAATTAGCCACTAAATCGAAAAGTTACAAATTGGCATGAGATATCGATGTTTAATCAGCTAATTCAGCGATTACAACAAGAGTTTTGTGTACGAGTCAAAATAAATATTTCATCTAAAAAATAAATGCTCATTCCTGACATAATGCCGACAATACAAATCAACTAAAGTGTTTAAAGCTGGGTTGAACTGGTTATCTACAGGCAGAGAAATATTGACCGTAGGCATTCTGAAAATATGAATTTAAATGGAGCTGAAACTGCTAATGACTGCCATTAAGCAGTTCGGAATTTATTCTTTCTTTTAGGTGACAATTTTATTATCATAAATCCATAATGTTCAAAAATTTGCAGATTATTTCCCTTTATAAACAGCTACATTACACTTAAAAAGCATATAGGGACAAACAGACAAAAATTAAATCATCTAAATTACTATTAGTCTTTTTTTTTTTTTTTTTGAGCTGGTATGTCAGATTTTATGTAAATTTCGCTAAATTTTGCAAAGTTGTGCCATATTGGTAAATATGGAGGAGGTCAGGCTATTTTTTGTTCATGTTTGATGTTGGGAGGTGTGATAACAGTTCAGGCAAGTTGTAGCTATAAGTAATGAGAAACATTATAAATACAGTGGGACTAAGGTGTCATTACATTATATATATTAATCAAAGATGGTTTTCATGAGCATTTTGTCAGTAAAGCCAATTCTACTATAGTAAACCTCCAGCATGTGCTTTCAGGTGGAGCAGCATTTACAACACTGAGTCCCAGAACATTGACAGCTACACAATAATCTCTCATTGTAACAGATGATTTAATCAGACAATAATGACATTGAGATAATCATTCTGTGAAAATAGCTGTTTCCATCCACAGATTCTTATGCATATTTTGAAAATGCTCTCTAAAATTGTATGCGCACAAACGAGTAGAATATTTGCATAATTTACGTTGGAAACACGTTTACTAAATAAATCTCTGAATGTGCAATAAAAAGTCATGTTATTCAAATCATGTGAAAACACAAATTGATGCGATGGACATCATTAATGGACAAAACAGTGGACTGACCAAATGTTGTTTTGGTCATTTTAATGTCTTAGCTGAATTTCTTCATCTAAGTGGTTCAGTATTATTACCTCCAGAACTGTCTTAAGCATCTACATCCGCAAAGAGCATCTCACACCTCTAAAAGCCACCGTGTGTTCATCGTCTGAGATGGAATTAATAGTATTATTTACAAAAAAAGGCCCACAGTGGCTTCTACCGCAGCAAACTCCATTCTTCTTTTTAATATTTGCTGCCAGTTTATCAGGAAATGGATGATTTTGTTTTCTTTTACTCATCAGATGGAAATGGTGTTTGATTATGCTAATGTTTTATCTTTAGATGGAAACATAGCTATTGACAGCTGTTTGCATTGCTTCTCAGTGCTCTGTGTATTAAACGCAGCATGTAAAAATACCATGTTTTAACTCCAAACTCAGTTCATAACTTCAGTCTCGTGTTTGAAATACAGTTGAAGTCAGAATTATTAGCCCCCGTTTGATTTTTATCTTCTTTTTTAAATATTTCCCAAATGATGTTTAACAGACCAAGGAAACTTTCACAGTATGTCTGATAATATTTTGTCTTCTGAAGAAAGTCTTATTTGTTTTATTCAGGCTAGAACAAAAGCAGTTTTTAAATTTTTAAAAGCTATTTAAGGTCAAAATTATTAGCCCCTTTATGCTATTTTGTTTTTTGATAGTCTACAGAACAAACCATCGTAATACAATAACTTGCCTAATTACCCTAACCTGCCTAGTTAACCTAATTAAGCCTTTAAATGTCACTTTAAAATATTATACAGTGAAAAATAAAATATTAGTAAAACATTATACATGATGACAGTAAAATATTATTTACTGTCATCATGGCAAAGATAAAATAAATCAGTTATTAGAAATGAGTTAATAAAACTATTATGATTAAACATGTGTTGAAGAAATGTTCTCTCCATTAAACAGAAATTGGGAAAAATCAAACAGGGGGGCTATTAATCCAGGGGGGTAATAATTCTGACTTCAACTGTAAATCCTTCCATAAAATTTCTTCATTATCATGTGTTTATTAGTCACGCTGAATTAATGAAAATGCTTAAATCTTTTATTTATTAAGCAACGCTAAGAAGATTTCCTGGGTTTCTTCTTTGTGGGTGTTTGGCGTTTCCGCTCAAAAGCGCCCTCTGGCTTAGGAGAGGATTTTTACTAATGATCACACAGCCGTTTGTTCCCTTAAAAGATGTGCATGACAAATCACAGCTTTGCTGTCGCATTTGTAATTACATTTAAATTATTCACCCATCCCTATTTAAAACATTACAAAAATTAAACCATCCAAGTAACGATCTATTGTTAAAAGAAACAAACCTCAATCAGAGAAGAGATTACAATGAAAAAGGGAAAGTGACAGAGCCCGTGATACAATTTGCATCAACAACATTTCAAAAATGGCAACAGCTATAAAATTTCTAAAGATTTAAAGCAGATGCATAGGTGTTTTTTCTTCTTTGGTGGGCAAGCTCTATAGCATTTGTTATGTCCAGTGTCAGCTTTACTTGTCTGTCAAAGTGAGTCAGAAGAACTGGAAATGTTTACTTGACACTGTACGAAAATGACTTTTGCTCATATATTAAGATTTCCTGTAATAACAGGTACACCAGTGTGCCTCAAACAATCATATTCATCAGCACTGAACAGCTAAAGCCCAACTCAAGCAATTACCAAACTGCTACATTTAAAGGTGCTGTATGTAAGTTTTTGACTCTTCTAATTCTAAAACATAAAAATACCATGATATGTTTGCAGATATTTAAAAAGAAGCTCATTGCATTGTAACCCCGTGTCCTAAAAACATGCTACATGACAAGATTCGCAGTGATACACAATTTGGCTGTTTGCACCAAACGAAACATGACAGAAATTTAAATAGAGCCATTCAGAACCACAGAATAGCGCACTCCCTACACTCCAACTAAATGGTAGGGTTTATAGCCTAATTAATTCATATTAAATCTGTTTAACATTAAATGTAGATGCTGAATCACTGATATGTGTTGGTTTGCACTAACACAGTTCTAAAGTTTAATTTCAAACGGTTTATTTTATTATTTTCAAGATCTGAGCTGAACTATCTGCTGCTGCTTTCAGTAGTATGGCAATAAATGTCATGTAAAATAACATCCAAACTTGCATTATTAGCATTTAACACTGAATAAAGCACATGTGGTGTACCTGATCAATGTCGGTTTATCCTATTGTTCAGCTGCAAGAAATAGAAGCTGTTTCTAAAATATAAATTTGAGGTGCTGGTTAGAACAAAAACCTTTTAATATGGAAAATATTCCTTCTATTGTGTGCTGTTGTTTTTATTTAGAACACGACTTACTTCAGCTTTTAGGCTCGATAGTCAGGCACACTGCTGTTGGTGTCAATTTGGCAACCTGTGCTTGCGTATGTTTTAAGCCAGCTGTGGAAAACCTAGTTCATCCACTGGGTGTCAAACTTACATACTCCACCTTTAAGTAACATGCTGTATCAAACCTGTACTGAATATCCTGCACTGCACTTTTTATAAAAGCTGAAATAATTTTAGAGGCATATTTGGGGTTGTGAGTAATTCCTGAGGATAATGTCAAAAAGTAAAACGAAAAAACGACATCCGCACATATTTTTTTTCTGCATACATACATCCACGGTGCAATAAAAGTTAAAAGAGCTTTTAATTCTAGTCTCCTTTTAGGGACCATTTTTAAAATAAGACTATGCTGAGAAACAAGAATGATGGTTTTTTTCTCAAACATAAGTCTAGCTGACTTGTGCACAGTTCACAGTTTTCTTGCTCCCTTTAGTATTCCAATACCTCAGGAAACATCTCAGTAATTCTTTACCATATGGTGGCCATTTTGTTGCTCTGTCATTGTGTCTTGGGCACCACCATGATCTCATCCCCGTCTCGTATACTGTAGGAATGAAGTGCTCGAGCTCCATATTTCATCTCTTGAGGCTCTAGTGCGTATCCCAGCTGCCGGTCGATATAGTATACGCGTATCTTGTTTGGAGGTAGCTGGACCACGGTTTTCAACTGCTTCTTTAGGTCTGCCACTGTTTGATCCAATCTGAGCTCTAGAGACTTTGCCTGGTCCCCAAAGCGTACCTGTACCTGGACATGGCTGAGAGGGCGCAAATCCACCTCCGCGAGTGGGGCTAGGCGGCCATAGCGTGCTACCAAAGTGTGGTACCTGAAAAGAGTGGACAGCAGTGAGGAAAGGATAACCATGTGAGTTTAGCCCATGATATTTCGGCTAGTACACAAAGTGACCTGCTTTTGATCAAATAAAATGTTGGAGTGGATTTTAGATCATTTTAGAAAGATACAGTTGACGTCAGAATTCTTATCCCTCCAGTGATTTTTTTTTTCTCTTCAAATATTTCCCAAATGATGTTTAACAGAGCAAGGCATTTTTCACAATGTTTCGTATAATATTTTTCTTCTGGAAAAAGTCTTGTTTGTTTTATTTTGGCTATAAAGTAAGCTGTTTTTAATAATAATAAATAAATAAAACATTTCAAGGTCGATATTATAAGCCCTATTAAGCAATTTGTTTTTTGATTGTCAACAGAACAAACCATCATTTTACAATGTTTTGCCTAATTATTCTAACTTGAATGAATACTAATGTCTAAAAAAATACCTTGTTAAATATTAGTTACTGTCATTGTCAAAATCACCAGCAATGCAGGCTTGTAGATTGCTGGTAAACATTCATTCTCAACAATCCTGTCACCATATGAACTACAACTCCTGTCATGCACCTCACTCACACCTGTTCCGGTTTACCTTGGATTACACACTGGGAGCTGCGCAAGGACTGATTACTGTTCAGACTGCTCACTTTGTCTCACTTTGCTGAGTTGGTTAGACCCTGTAACATTTCTAAGTGTTTCCTGTGTCTAGGTGTCCTGTTTTGACTCTTGCCTTGTTGCCTTGTTTACGTTGTCTGCTGCCTGTATCGATTATTTGCCTGTGACCTGACTATGCTTCCGGATTTCACTGTATGTAGTTTGACTTTTGCCTGCCTGACCATTTTCGGTTTAATAAATACTGCACGTGGATCCTTAACTCCGTTGTCCAGCATCCCTGACTGTTACAGTCATCATGGCAAAGATAAAAGAAATCAGTTGTTAGAAGTTAATTAAAACTATTATGTTTAGAAATTTGTTTAAAAAAAATCTACTTTCCGTTAAATAGAAATTGGGGGAAAATTATACAGGTGGGCTAATAATTCAGGAGGGCTAATAATTCTGACTTCAACTGTATTTTTTTCAATAGCTGAACTACCAAGCTAAAAGGCATTTTATAGGCATAATGAAGAATAGAAAGAATAAAAAGCTGCAATATTTGTCTTCCTTTCCCAAACTTAAAACTGTAAACACAATGCTGATTTAAAGCAATATTTGCTTAAAGAGAAAGTTCACCCAACACAGATACCCTTTGCTTGTTCCTAATATGACTTTCATAGTTTTTCCTACTATGGATTGTCAGTGATTACAGGCTTTCAGCTTTTCTTCATCTTTTTTAGTGTTTAACAATATAATGAAATTTGGTTTTGAAACCACGCGAATGTAAATACATTTTTGTTTTTGGGTTAGCTATCTCTTTAATCTAAAACTCAAATAATCAAAATGGTATGAAATGCTTATTAGCTGCAGGAACAATAAGTAAACATAGGGGAGAGCGGGGGCACAAAGTAACACTTTTTGGTTTTGGTCAAATAATAAACAAAGTATTGGGGTTAGACAAACCATTTGTTTTTACCAACAAAACACAAGCCTTTCCTACAAATGAAAAATCATTCTGAAAGTATGATCGCCAAAAATATGGTTTCTGAGCACTGTTACCAAAAGTGCCAGGAGTAAAAATGTTACTATGTACCCCACTACCCCAATATGCTGCAAAAATGATTTCTCCTGTGTTTCTCATCCAAATTTCGCTGAACTTTTTCAATAATTGGCAGGAACACGTCTGCCTACCCTGTGGTGAAAATCTCTGAAGCATGCCACGTTTAACCTATAGCAAATACCTTAAAACTCTGTGTTACATTTAACCCCGCGTTACTTTGTGCCCCGCGTTCCCCTATTCCTGATGCAGTATAGTTAACTTGGCAATATACTAAGTACAGTGGGGGAAGTAGATGAACACGTCATGTTTTTTTCCTGGGAATAATATTTCTAAAGCAGCTTTTGACGTGGAATTGAACCAGATTTTGGGGAAAAACCCAAACAATAAAAACAAAACAAAAAGAAAATCCGAACAATTAGTTCTATGTAATAACAATAGAATGACACAAGGAGTAAGTTTAAAGCTTAAGAAGCTTAAAGACGCCTCTCATATGGAGAATGAAGTCATGCATTAAGAGTTTTTCACAGACTTCAACAGTGTCAAAGTCTTGATGGTTCTGTGGGTCTCGTCTATCAAATCTGATCTTGATTTAGTATTTTCTATTGGATTCAAGTCAGGTGATTGGCTGAGCCATTCTACAGCTTGATTTTCGTTCTCTGAAAGCATTTAAAGAGTTTCCTTGGCTGTGATTTGGATCATTGTCTTGCTGAAATGTCCACCCTGATTTCATCTTCATCATCCTGCTAATGTAGATGTTAGACTGAAGCAGCTCATATTCATTTACACTGAGGAAGGGCAGAGAGTTGCTGAAGAACTACTGAGAGATTTCAGCTGCTGTCAGGGCTTTCACTGCCTTTCTACACCTTCCTTTCTTCATGTGTTCAATACCTTTTCCCTGCATCGTTTCATTTTATTACACACAACTTTATTTATACAGTAATTAAGTTTTATTTGCATATGTTGATTTATTTCGTTGTTGCCAACAACAGTTTCAAATCAACGGCACCTTTAGAAATATGTTTTCTGTGAAAAATGGTGATGAGTTCAATGTTTATTTTCTCCACTGTATGTTAGATTAAATTATAACCCACAATGTGTGTGATATCGATCATGTACAGGATAGTTTTGAGCTACGAAATTGAGCTACAAAAGCAACACCCATACTGACACATAATTGTTTTGATCAAAAATGTCAATCGCACTCCGCTGTATAGAAGACGCAACTCGTCTGAACCATTTCACAGGAAGTGACCGCAGAGCTGTGTGTGTGTCTGCGAGAAGACGCCGTAGTGTATTCGCGTACCTGTTTGTGTGTTTGTAGAGTTTTTAAACCGTGAGAAAGTTCTCACCACCACCCCCTTTTACCCTCCCTTCTCTCCCGTCGTGCTGAAGGATTGTGGGAAAGATAAGAGGAGATCGGCAGGAACAATTAAATAAAATCTCCACAAAAAAAGTCTTTTAGCTTTAGAGGGCTACAGTAACCGACACAGCCAATCAAAGTAATTTCCCCAGCCTGTCCAGAGAAAGTCTCCCCACAAAGCAGAGCCTGAGCCTGGGTAGGTGCCTGTGGCTCCCTGCCTTCGCCATGGGAATACTGCCCCCGTCTATACAAAGTGCCACTCTGTCTGAGAGAAAGAACAGTCTCACTCAAGGGTCTCATTTAGTGTGGCTAAGCTCCTTAAATGAAGGCGAATGGGTGTTCGCTGTGATAACATAGCTGCCTTGGATTCCACGAAACAGATCAGTCTCGGAGATGGGACCGGACAGTCGCCTCCGTGCGGTGCACCAAGTTCACAGTAGAGCCATACAGTGAGTCTACTGTAGATACCGCAGTTGCTGATGGCCTCAAAAACAACATGACCTGTTCCTGTTTTCAAGTAGATAACATGCGCGCATTCACCCTCAGCTCAAAATTTAGATATCTACAACATGACAAATATCTCCTGGGAGCTGTAGAAACTCGCTCGGGACTTACTTGTCAACAATGTGTCTTTTTTAACAGAGCCACGTATTACAGTGGGAGTCACCCTGGATGAACCTGGGGTAAGTGCCTATTTAAGAGGGGCAGCAGAGAAACAGTATCTTAGGCTTTGTTTACACTCCACACAACCGCAATTTTTGTCTTCCAGTCTTTAGCGCGAACTGTCATTTTGGATCAACTGAAATCGGATCTATGGCTTCTGAAAGTGTAGATAATAACCAATTAATCTGCATGGGTTGCTATTGTAACGATGTAGGTGGTAGCATGAGACTATCATTGGATTTATTTTCTAACAACCGATCACAAAAGACTAAGACAGTAAAAGTATAATGACTGCATTTAACGTGTAAACAAGTATCAAAATTATAAAATTTATTCATTATATAATTTAATACAATATAATTTAATTTAATATAATGTAATTAAATATATTATTATTATTATTATTATATAATATGATATAATATAATATATAATATAATTTAAAATAATACAATATAATATAATTTAATATAATATAATTTAATACAATATAATTTGATATAATATAATTTAATATATTATTATAATATTATATAATATAATATAATATAATTTAATGTAATATAATTTAATGTATTATTATAATATTATATAATTTAATATAATATAAATTAATATATATTATAATATAATTTAATATAATATATAATTTAACATATTATAACATAATATAATATAAGTTCATTAGAGGCATCATGGTAGGTCTTTCAATTTGGGGACCATACTGAGTTGTCTGTTTTATTATATTATATACTATATTATTATCTTTTTATTTATATTATTACAGGTGGAACGGTGGCTCAGTGGTTAGCACTGTCACCTCACAGCAGAAAGGTTGCTTGTTTGAATCTCTGCTGGGTTAGTTAGCATTTTTATGTGGAGTCTGCATGTTCTCCCCATGTTCTCCCCTCCGGTTGCTTCAGTTTCCCCCACAGTCCAAAGACATGCGCTATAGATGAATTGGGTAAACAAAATTGGCCGTAGTGTATAAGTGCATGTGTGAATGATGGAGTCTATGGGTGTTTCCCAGTACTAGATTGTGGCTGGAAGGGCATCCGCTCATGCATACCCCTGATAAATAAGTTGAATGAATGATATTTCATATTATATTACTAATATTACAGGCATCAACATGCTATCTTTTTGTTTTAGTTGTTGAATAAAAAGGTATTTACATTTATATTAAATGTATGTTTTATGCATGCCAGTGTGCCAGTTTTGTTTATTGTAGTTTGAATACAATGCAGTTATTTTAAACTGCAGTTAGATTGTGTATAGTCTCTCAGACATAATAAACTGGTTTATCTCTAAGGCAT